ATTTTATACAATTTTTCCTTTAACTTTAAAGGCATGTTGCAATCACACAACACACCTGACGCATTTCGTCACCTCACCATCCTGCTTGAATCCTATGATTCACATCTCTTTCCATCTCAGTATTACTTTGAATAATTGATCCCAAATATCGAGAATGACTACTCTTTAGTACTACCTCACCATCCAACTTAATCACACTATCACTCGTTTCTCTATGATTACAAAACTTATATTCTAAATATTTAGTTTTAGATCTACTCAATTTAAAACCTCAAGAATCCAATGTATGCCTCCATAATTCTAAATTTGCATTAAGATCATCACTAGTTTTAGCAACTACGATTATAATATTGGCAAATAACATACACCATTATCTTGAATATGTCTCAATGAGCTCATCCATAACTAATGCAAAAAGAAATGGACTTAGTGCTGAGTCTTGATGCAATCTTGAGGTAATGGGGAAGCTATCAGTCATACCCTCAAGTGTCCTCACATTCGTTACAATTCCTTCATACATATTTCTAGCTATGTTAATGTACTTTCAAAGAACTCTTTTCTTCATTAAGACCCACCAAAGCATCTGTCAGGGAATTCTATCATATGCTTTCTCCAAATTGATAAATATCATATGCAGATCTTTCTTTTCATCTGAAAATCCTCCAACAAAAGCCTCAATAGGTGAAATACCTCTATTGGGAATGTCCTGACATAAACCCAAATTGGTTTTTGAAAATAATGACCTCAAACAGACGGTAAAAGATGTAGTAGAATTAAAAGACAAGGACTTGTAAGTCTTATCTTCATCATTCCCCCTTTTGTTTACGTCAAGTGACTTGGCACAACAGTTAAAACAGTTAAATAACAGAAAACATTAGAGTGCACAAAATTACTAGAGAACAATAATGCATTTGTACTTGTCAAGGCTTCAGAGGTATTTGTCATATACAAGAAAATGAAGTCGGTGGCCTGAAGGGCTTGTTAATACATCAAAAAGATTATAAACCGTTATGATATCTGCAACAGCAGTACAGACAGGAGCTATTCGAGCAAAAGCCTCTCGTCCAACAGTTTTCTTGTCATCAACCTAATAGAAAGTAAAGAATGAATTTCAAATATCATCAGCCCCCCGGGCCGGGCTCCCTTAAAACTTATTTCATAAGCCTACAAATTTCATAAGCCTTTTCTAATATTATTACTTGGCCCCCCTTATTCTTATAAATTCTATACTTTTTAAATTTCCCCAATTCTATATAAATCCTATAAGTTCTTTTTGAAATTTTACTGAATTTAATATGTTCTTCTTCACTTATATATCTTCATTTTTATAGGTCTTTTTCCTTTGTCTTATGCTTAAATGGTTGCCTTCAATTTTATTCCCCTACTTTTGGGTTTCTTTACATATAAATTCTTACCTTTAATTTTTCTTTTTTTTTCCTACTTTCTTAAATTTCTTTTACAAAATTATTTCAAATATTTTACATATCAAAGGCATTATAACAACAATTAATATGATAAACACATTAAATGCAAAAATTAGAAAATAAATAGATAATATAGAAATGAAGCTATAGCATAATTTTTTTTGTTTTTAGAAAATTGTAGCATAATTGGCCGCTTGCTCCATCACTGCATATCACTTATTAGTGGTCACTTACACTAACCCCAAGGTAACTAAATGGCTGAAGAATTATCAATCCCTGGAAGAATGCCAATAATATATTGCCAGGCAGTACCAGCCCATAACATCGTTATGCAAATGAAATTTATTAAACAAGCAAAAATAGTAGAACAAACCTGAACTGCCATATTCATAGGACTTGAATAAAACAGTGACCCGCCTTCCTCAGCCTCTATTTCCTCTTTGATGGGTGAAGGTTCCTGCAATAGAAAAGAAGTTCAGAGACCATTGTCAACCCTCACCCCAAATCTCGAACCCCCCAAAAACCCTCATACTCAAAGTTTTTAATCAAAATACTGGCAAGGACACGTATGGCAAACAACTCCAATGCATATCTTACTTTGATTCCTCGTTCACACTCAACACAGGGGGCCTCCCATGCAAGCATCATCTCATATGTTAGTCAACGGAACTCCGGATCACTCAGATAATCTGGATTTCTACTCACTTTATGCAATGCTTGGTATAAGCAAAACTTTAAGAAGTTCCTAGCATATGTGAAAAGCTGTTTAACACTTTCTGGAAGCTCTACATCGAAACGATGCTGTAATTCTTCAGTAGGAATTTTAAGAATCCGGAAACAGTCAGTAAAAAACGCCCTTGGATATTGAAAATTAAAAATTGTACTAATTGTTATTGAAGAACAAAATGCATTGATAAAGTTAGAAATTGGAATTACATTTTAGTCAGTATTTAATCGATTATGAAACCCTTACTAAAATTTTGATCTGACTACGAGTAAAAAATATGAGATTTCAACAGAAACAAACAATGTCTAGTGAGAGAGATAGAGAGAGAGATATGGAGAGTACTTGGAGCAGCGAAAGACGACCGAATTGGCGAGAGGAGAGAGCTGAGGGATGGGTCTCGGACAGCTTTCTAGGGATTCTTCATCATTGGATGATAATTTCTTGCGCTGAAAAAGGGATTTCAACGTATTCTGATTGTTTCTCATGAAATTCTCCCACACTCCCTCCATTTTTATTTTTCTTTCTGATTTCACGTCAATTGGGAAACTCCACCTGATTATTAAATTGGGTATTTCAAGACTTCAAACAAGAAAAAATGAAAAGATTGATAGACGAATACCCATCTTCTTTTCTGTTTCTTTTTGTTGGCTACTTCGCTCCTTTTCAGAGCTCTTCACTTCGTTTGGCTGCCTGCTTCCTCTCCTGGCAGTTAGGTATTTTAATTTTTCCTAATTTGCAGTTCCGTCCCTTATTTTTTTTTTCATTTAAAACAATAGTTTTTTTTTTTTAAATTACAAAAGTTAAGAAACCTATAATGTACTTGTAATTTAACAAATTTTATAATATAATATTTTTACTTTTAAAATGTTGTAATATCAATTTAAAATTTTATAATATAATATTTTTACTTTTATAACTCGTATTATCATATTATCATTCAAAATCATATTAAAACATATATATTTGTGACATCCAAGTGTTAACTTTTAATAAAAATTAAATAATAATAAATAAAAAAAAAACTTTTTTTCTTTATATATACAATTTTTGCACATATATATTAAAAAGTGTTATACTATATAATACTGATAGTCTTTTAAATTGATTCTAATGTTAAAATTTATCATAGAATTTACTTTATTGTCAATAAGAAATTTTATCATGATGGCAATTTTATCTATACTAAATGGATATCGATGCTTTGTTGCAGATCAAAAAAAATTTTTTTTGTTATCCGTATTCATCGTCTTTTACAAATTTTATTTAATTTAAAAACAATGAAAAGTAAAAAATAAATAAATAATTAAATAAGTGTGACATATGGATACTTCAATTAACTTTATTTTTCTCACAAAATTGATCTAATAAAAAAAAAAGAAAAACAAAAAAAAATAATAAAAAGAGCTCACAAAGAGTATCATGCACACATCCTCATTAAATTTAAATTATTTATTTTTAAATTAAGATATCAAATAATAAATTTATTAATATAACACGTACATATAATTTATATATAATTTTAGTAAAATATTTTGAAAAAATATTTTTGTAATTATGTTTATAGAATATTATATTATAATAATTTCAACAAATTATAATGTGAGAGATATTTTGGTAACTATGATAAGAGATACGTAAAGCAATTAAAATATATTTTTTTATAATTATGATCAAAAGATGTTATAGTAATTTTAACTAAATATAATATATGAGATGTTTTCGTAATTATGATAAAAAATGTATTATAATAATTTTGAATAATTATGATAAATAAAAAAAAATAAACACGTAATATACAATTAATATCAAGTGGCTCTTACGAAAAAAATTAAATATAAAAAAGTTTTATTAAATATTTTTAAAAATTTTAAATAAAAAAGTAAAAGAAAATCGATATAAACGTGTCTCAAATATTAAAAAATTTTAAAAATATATAGTAATAATTTTATAATTTTTAAAAGTATTTATTAAATAATTTTTTTTTAAAAAGTAAACAAAAAAAAAAATAAAACCAAGAAAACGATACGCGATGATAACAGGAAACGAGACTATAAATACATATAATTCAAGTGTGTTCTAAAAAAATATAAAAATCTTAATTACTTTTTTATTTAAAAATTAAAAAATTGAAAAGGGTAAAAATAAAAAGGCAAAAAAAAAAAGTTTGGTATAAATGGTCTTATGCATAAAAATACAATTTTTACAAATATATATATTTTTATAATTCTAATATAATTATTATTAAAAAAACAAAAAGAGGAAAAAAATGTAAAAAATAAAAATCAAAAAAAAAAGTCAATCAAAGTGCAAAATGTTGCGCAACAATGGGTGAGTCCCGTTTATCTGAACATTAATAAAATTAATTGTAAGAATGGATATTATCAAACTAAGTTATATTATATTAAAAGTTAAAAATTTAATTATATAAAAGAGAATTTATTTTATTTTATGAATAAATTAATTCATCATTCTTCATAGCTACATACAATCTAGTTCAATTGGTAAAAAAAAAAAAAAAAGTTGTTTGGCAATTAAATAGACATTAAAAAAAAACATTCTTTCAAGTGTATACATAATAATTTTAAATATAACATAAAATTAAAATAAAAAATGACATAATTTAAATTTTAATAAAAAAATATATAAATTTATCAAAACAAAAAAATATATGTTTTATATTTGATAATATAAATTATGATATGATAATCTTATATTTATATAAAATAAATATAATACGAATATATAAATTATCTAATTTATTTAAGTTATAAATTTTTTTATAAAAGGAGTTATAATGCTTTTAATAAAGTGATTGAAAAACACTAAAAAAAAAAATGCCATAAAAAAAGTCACAGTCAAAGCAAAAGATAAAAATAAAGCAGAGATGGATCAAGCGCAGGAAGTGCTAACGCGGAGATGGATCCAGTTCAAAGCGAAGTAGCGGCGGTAGCTGCAATTAACGATAAGACTCGCACCCAACACCCCTCTTCCCCCACTTCCATGGATTCTATTATTGCAGGTTTTGTAATTTATATTTATGTTACTAATATTAATTGCCGTTGATCCGTTTTAATTGCGTGACCAGACCGATCTTGCGTTTCAATTGTTCGTGAAAATGTCTGAAAGAAGAGCTAATAAAAACCTCAGTTCCGAAGATCTTAGCTTAGTTTAAATTCTTCGTATTTTGCCCTTGCAATTTTAGAAAATGAAAGACTTTTTCATTGGAGTAGTTCATAATAACATTATCTTTTGCTTTATAGAAGCTGCGGCATATGGCAACGATGAGAATCAGGTTGGTTGACCTTTTAATATTATAAACTTTTTCCCTTTTTTCTTGGGTCACCTAACAGTTGTAAATAAAATGGGTTTCTTTCTTTTTGTGCCAGTCTCTTGATGCGCAGGCGCAGAAAGCATTAGAATGCCCTTGTGTAGCTGAGCTGCGGAATGGGGCATGCGGGGTTCATTTTACAGAGGCTTTCCTTTGTTTTCTGAAAAGCACAGCTGAGGAAAAGGTAACCCCTATTAATTGAAAACCTTTGTGAGGAAAATGGGCTCACTTGTCATGTTAAACATTTTATTGTGATTAATCTAGTCACTCCTACCATGCATCTATCTGCTTGGGAAAAACTTAAATGAAGTTCTATAGTTAGAGTTCGTGAAATTCCTTATTAGAAATGAGTAAATAAAAATTAAAATCGAAAATCAAAACCGATAAAGTGAAAGATCTCAGCACAAAGATCAAATGTGCAAAATTTGAAAAAATTTTAATAAATTTTGATATATTTATTAAATAAACATTTTTAGTAAAAATATTGACAGAATTTTTACGTTGAATAAGTATTGATAAAATTTGAATTATAAATAATATTTTTAATAACTTTTTTACATATTATTGATCTTCACATTGAACTCTATTAATCTATCGGTTTGGATTTTTTATAAAAGTTTTTTTTTTTTTTTTCATTTCTAGTAAAGAACTTCACAAACTCCACCTATGAAACTTCATATAAGTTTTGTCACTATCTGCTTCAGTTCAAGCTAGTAATATCACTTAAATAGTTACCAAAAAAAAAAAAAGAATTAGAGAATGAAACTTTTCTGTATCATATGCCAAATTGAAGCTGTAAATCTTGTAAATATCTTGTATAGAAAGTGAGGACTCTGCATAGGCTTACGTCTTTTGTTGATTTGTTGTTTCATTTAATTTAGTGCAAGGCATGCGGTTCGGATTTATATATTTTCCTGCTAATCTAAGTGGTTGTTAGAGGTATACCCTAACTGCTTGACGATTTTAAACATTAACTCCTATCTTTTCATTCACATTGTTGCCATTGAGAATTCATATCACTACTTTTTTTGGCCTTGTATCTAGATGATGTCGAATTGTCTACCCTTGAGCATGAAATAATATAGCTAAGGTTAGGCTCAACTTTCTGAGGGTGGGAGATAAATGCTGTCACTTTTAGACAAGCTAATATTATTTGAACTTCTTGAAGATATTATAATTTATAAACTGGATATTTGCTTTTAGAAAATTTTCAATTCTAGAGCTTTGCTTGGCAAAGAGGATAATGATTGGAGATTGTGTGTTCTGTCAGCTCTGGCCTTCATCTTTGTTGAAATTCTACATGGGCACTAATATATGGAGACTTTCTTCTTTAATAAGGTTCATATTGTGTGCATCCATTTGTAGCCTTGCAAACCCTTCCCTAACTGTTTGACCATTTTAAACATTAACTCCTATCCTTTCGTTCACACTGTTGTCATTGAGAAGTCATATCTCTAGTTTTTTTTTTTTTTTTTTTTTGCCATTGTATCTGGATGATGTCCAATTGTCCACCCCTGAGCATGAAATAATGTGGCTAATGGTCTGCTCAACTCTCTGAGGTTAGGAGATAAATGCTATCACTTTTAGACAAACTAATGTTATTTGAGCTTCTTGAAGATATTATAATTTATAGACTGGATATTTGCTTTTAAAAATTGTTCAATTCCTGAGCTTTGCTTGGCAAAGAGGATAATGGTTGGAGTTCTGTGTTCTGTCAGCTCTATCCTCCATCCCCGTTGAACTTCTACATAGGCACTAATATATTGAAACCTTCTTCTTTAACAGGGCTCAGATTGTGTGCATCCATTTGTCGCCTTGCAAACCTGTATCAAAGGTAACCCTGATGCATTTCCTAAAAACATCCTTGAAGAGAAAGAAGTCAAGAAAGAAGAGGAACCAACCCTAGAATACAGAATTCATCCTCCTATATGGTTCAAGGAATCTGAGAGCCGAAAACCAAAGCTTTAGGGCAACATTGTCACTTTCTATACATTTTTTATTGCTAATTCCAGTTAGAAGGAAATTACAATATCAGATGCATATGCTATTTTGATAAACAATTAGTATTTTAGTTTTGGTCTGTGAAATAAAGATTTGTCATTTGTGAATAGAGAGTTAAAGATGATCAAATTGGGGTGCCAACATGGATCTTTTGAAAGTGATTTTATTCAAATAAAAAACAATTTTTGTTGCACTCTTTCTTTTTCTTTCTTTCAATAAACCAAATGGAAGGAAGAGCAGACACCTAAGCAGCATTTTCTGAATTGTTGGATGACAAAAATGGACAGATGATGAATTTCTGTGCCGAAGGGGATTAGCTTTCAGTTTTGGATTGTGAGCTAATAAAATGTTTGAATTACTGGAATAGTTACCGACGAATTTGATTTTTGTGGAAAGTGAATTGGAGAAAGCTGATCCCTGAGAAATTTTATTTCTATTTACAAAAATTAAAATAGTGCTCTAGGATTTTATCATTCTAGTCGTTTTTGCTGTTAATTATTTGCTTGAATGATCGTTCACAGAATATTCGAAAATGTTGTACAGTTGTTATCATCTGCCTTATTGAGGCGGTTTACAATGAGCATTGGAAAATTCATGAGTTGTTTGCTCGGAGGAAAAGGAGAAAAAACCCTTTCAAGCTCTATTCCATTTGGGATAATGGTTTTCTTTTCCTTTTGGAATTAGGTTTATGGTTTCCTCTTCCTTTCGAAATTAAGATTTTGGTTATCTCTTTATATATATAGAAGGATAAGGTGGTTTGATCTATGCATACATCAATCACCCTTTTCTCTTCAATTTTTTCTCTTTGCATTTTCCAAAGTTTTCAATTTTTTTGATCTCTAAAGTCTTTTATAGGCCGTAGTAGTTGTGTTGGGAGCAACTCTAGCTTACTCAATACTGAAACAATGTCAATTTTCGGATCATCTAGCAGTGCGATATCCCCTGATTACTTCGGGGATGAATTTGGGTTGCCTCTGCCACGGTGCTTAATGGTGAAAAATAAGGCAACAACTATCCAACCCAAATCCATAGGGTTGGGGAATCCAGGGGTTACCAAGGCAGTACTCAATGAGCTAAAGAATGGCTTCATCAAGTGCATGCAGATGGCAGACAGTAGGGAGTCCAGACGTGGAGAACCGGCATTAGCACCAATCATGGATGGACTGCTTTGCTTGGAAACTTTTGTTATTAGCAATTTAAAGTAGTAATTTTCAGAGGATAATGTCAACCCTAGTAGTTGTAGATGAAAGAAAAGTTTCAGATATTTTCTATTTTTTTTATAGGTAGAATTCTTTATTTACTCATTAGCTCTTTGCAAATCTTTCAAATTTCTGGAATTCCTAAAATGTTATAAGATTATATATTTGTTAGTATATTTGACGTTGTTAGAAATTTGAATTTTGATTATTGAAATTAAACACTGCTATAGCTAGATTTTGTGGGAACAGAAGAGTGAAGAGAATAAAATAACATTGGATAAATTGGGAGCAACTTACAGTAAGGAAGGATAAGGGTGGGATGGGGTTTAAGGATTTAAATCTGTTGAATATAGCTTTACTAGCAAAGCAGGTGTGGAGAATGATGGTACAGTCGAATGCGTACTCGGTGCAAATCATGAAGGCTAGATATTTTACTAAATCTTTGAGGCAAAGGGAGGGGTTCGAGCTTCCTAGGCATGGGCTAGCGTACTGGGAGGGAGAGATTTAATAAAAGAGAAAGCTGTTTTGGTAGAGGGGTGAATATATGGACAGACCAATGGATCCCAGGGTGTAACCTCTAAGTCTAGTTATAGATGAAAGGAATTTAGAGGTTTTACAGCAAAAAAGTTGTTGAAATCATGGATAAAGCTAGCTACTGGTACTTGGGCGCTGGATCAAATGAAAGAGGCAATAACAGACGAACTAGGAAGCTTATAAATTAAGCCAAATACAGAATATTAATTCCAGTGTGTCATCAGGAAGGAGAGGACATTTTGGTATGGCCCAGTAGTACTAATGGACAGTAAGTATTCTGGCAAAGCAGGATATCATGTCATGAAAGATTAAGTTCCCCGAAGAAATTAAAAAAAAAAAAAAAAGATCCTTCCTCATCAAATAATGTGGTGGGAAGGACATGTGGAAGCTGCCAATCCCTGCCAAAATAAAGAATTTTCTATGGAGAGCTTGACATAATGCAGTAGCTACATACTATAATCTCTGGAGGAAAAAGGTAAGCTTTCCCCTATCCCCAATGTGTTCTTTCTGTAACAAAGAAGTGGAATCAATTGAGCATGTTTTGCTTTTGTGTGATTGGACAAAGTTAATCTGGTTGGGAATTGACATTGTGTACATAATAGATAGAGATAGAGATAGAGATAGAGTTACCACTTTTGATAAATGGCTTAATAAAGAAGTGTTGTGTTTGAAAGTGGAAGTGGAAGGGGATAAGAAAAAGAATGCAAATTACTGTTGCATTTGCTTGTTGGTACATCTGGAAAATGCGAAATGAAGATGTATACCACAGGAGAAAGCCTGAAGTGATGGTGGTAATATCCAAAATTAAAGGTGCAGTTGCTGATTGTACGAGTTTCTTAGAAATTCAAAAGGAAGGGCAAGCTTAAGAGAAGTGCATGCTGCAGACAAGAGAAATGGAAGGGACCAGAGGAAAGTTCGGCTAAGATAAATTGTGATGGTGCCTTCTTCCAAGGAAAGAATGAAGCTGGCTTAGGGGTGATAATGAGGAATCATGAGAAGAATATGATTGGAGGTATCAGTAAAAAATTAGGTAAGGGCTAATTTCAGTTTACCGGCCGAAGCTCATGCATTAAGAGAAGTAGTGAAGCTGGCCAAGGTAAATGGTTACAGAAAGATTATATTAGAAACTGATTCTGAGATTATGAGTTCTGAAATGGCTAAAGAAGGAAAGATTGAGCATTGGATAGTGGCATATTAAGGTATGGAGTCATTATTTAGAAGGGTTTAAAATCAGTTGTATCAGTAGGAAAGCAAATAAGGTTGCAGATCCGGTTGCTAATCAGACCAAGAAGGGGTAGCGGTGAGCAAAAGTAGGTTTGAATCGATTAGATCAATCGAAATCGAGTGAATTCGATTGAATCGATTCGGTTTATTCGATTTTACTTATAATCAGTTTTTTAAATCGGTTAAATTGATTAATTCAATTGATTTTCGATTTTTAAAATTGATAACCGCACTGACCGAATTAATCGACTTTTTAATAATTAAAAATAAAAAAAATTTTGAGATAAATATTTTTACTTTTTTTTTTTAAAATATTATTAAAATTATTAAATTCTTTAATAATTTAGTTTGAATGATACTAAAGTTTGAATTTTATTAAATTAAATTTATGATTAAATAATTATTCATAATAAAAAAAAAAGTGATAAAAAAATCGGTTATTTAATCGAATCGAACCGATTTTGATCGATTCAATTATGATCGATTATTTAATAATATTCGATCGATTCGATTATTTATTAAATAAAAATTAATTAAATCGATTATTAATTTTTTTAAATCGAACCGATCATTTACTCACTCTTAAAAAGAGGACGTGCACCGGAGATTGGGTTGTTATGCACCCATCCTCGTTGCTTTTTATTCTGAATAAAGACGGATTGCCAGCCCCACCTTGATGCATGCAACGAGTATGTTGGTGACCAGAAGAATATGGAGTTACTGCTTCAAAAACTTCCCTTGCGTTCTGTTGGATTTGTATTCCGACTCATTGGAAATTTACGTTTTGCCCAAAAAAAAAAAAGACTTAATATTTTATTAATAAATAATGTCATTATTATCAACATAAAATTATACATTTTATAAAAGAAAATCACAATTTAAAAATAAAAAAAATTAAATTCATTGAATACTATCTTTTAAAATAAGTATATAAAGTAATTAAGCTGTTAATTTACATCCATTCAATTATATTTTTAAAACTATATATTTTCATCTTTTCTTCCTTACAGAAATAAACGCTTTATCTTCCACCATTTTTTTAAAAAAGTAGAAGTTAAAAAAAAAAAAAAACCCCCATGACGGGCCGTAAACCATTCTTGACATTGTGGTTGGTTGGGGCTTCGGCTCTGGATTTAGCGGGCTGTCACCAAGGAGGTAAGGATTATACGCTCAAAGTCTGAAGCGAAACTTCCATTTGCCCAATGGCCTTTCTTGCTTCTTCCTCTGCTACTTCTCCTTCCTTCACTTGTTCTTACGCTTTCTCCCAATTCCTCTCTCGACCCAAAATTGGTAGCCATCCCTTCCTTCCTTCTCTCTTATCAATCCCTCATTTGACCCCAAGAAGAAGACCCAACTTATCCCAATCTCTTACCGCTGCGGCGGTCAAGAGCGGCGGAATTGCGGTGCCACCGAAAAATCCAAAAGAAAAGAAGAAAGAAGTAGTTGGGAAAGACACGGATGAAGTGGAAGTGGAAGTCGAGGAGGAATTGCCGTGGATTCAAGAGAAGGCGCTGGACCTTGTTGAGTTCACTGGTTCCGTTACTCAAGCCATTCCTGGACCCAGAGTTGGCACCAGCTCTTTGCCTTGGATTCTTGCGGTTCCTTTGGCTTATGCTGGTATCACTTTTGTCATTGCTTTTGTCAAGACTGTTAAGAAGTTCACTTCTCCCAGGCACAAAAGAAAGAAATTGGTTAGTTTGTCGGTTAGACCACACTTTTTGTTATCTTAAATTCATTTGTTTAAGTTATTAATTTGTTTATTTGGGTTTTTATGTGGATTTTGAAATTGATTTTACATATTTCTTCAATTGTTTTACAGGTTAATAAAAACGCAATGCTTTGCATATCAATAGATGAGTTTTTTCAGCAAGGAAGTGATGCAGTAGATCAATCAGCACTAAAGGGATTAATACAAAAGGTGAGACAAATTCTGACAATATCCAGCCAACCTATATATAAGCAGTGCCTTACATGAAGAAACTTAATATCGAAAAGCTGAGGTGTTACCTTTTCCAGTCTTATTTCTGTAGTTTCTTGCTTGTAGTGCTTGAGTGAGTACTGCAGGTCCTAACTGTCCAAAGACAGGACTCCTTACATTAGATTTTAGATTCTTGTTGAAAAGGGGAAAATGAGATCCATCTTCAAGTATACCATATGCTATGCTAGAAATCTAAACCACTTAATTGTTACCTTTTTCATAGAAATTTCATTGTGGACTCTTGAAAACATTTAATTGGCAAAAAATATAAACTAAGGAATCTGTTATTGAGCTTGGTTTTATTTTTACATTTATGTTCTTAACAGCCTCTAGGAAATAATTGATATGTTGACAGAGATGTTTTAACATAAACTCATGTCATGCAGACATTTTGTTGTTATTTTAATGTGTACTGTGCATTTCATTTGAGTTTTAATGCCAACTGCTAATCCATATCCAGACAGGTTTTAGCATGGAGGAGATTTTGCGCAAGTACATTAGGTATTCGTTGAATGAGAAACCATGGAGTGCTGATTTGGTTGCCAGCTTAATCCAGCTCAGGAAAGCTTCAATGCTTGATGATTCGCAGATTGCTGAAATTTTAAACGAAATCTCAAGACGGATTGTGCGTGAAAAAGGTAACTTTCAGCACTGCTGCTTCCCTTACTTGTGTATATGATCCTGGTACCATTGCCTTTTGCCTTATATAATAGTGCTCTAGTGATAATACGTGCAATGGTTTTCCTTTTTTATTTATTTATTTATTTATTTTTTTTGTGCCTGGTAATCATGAATGATGCGCAATATAGGTGATTGTGGTAGTGATACTTTTTTGGAGAACTATTTCTGAAAATACTGATATGGCCATTCCTCATTGCCTTGAAATCATCCAAGATATCCTCTCTTGAAATTGACCGGTGGTGAAATGGGTTTGTCTTATCTTAAATGTGTTACTGATTTAAGTTTTAATTGTTGGTTTAAGGTTCAAGGGGGTTCAAGGGCTGTCAATGTTGCTACCATGTCTTTTTTAATTGCTCTTATTCACTCTCTGTAAACTTTTACATGATTCATCTTTTCATGAGAGAGTTTTGTATCTGACGCTGAAAATTTTTTCTTTACTGTTCAGGCCCAGTTGTCATGGACATGTCAGGGTTTACAGAAAAGGGATTTAAGAGGAAACTTGCTGTGCAGGGCCTTTTTGGGAAGGTTTTATATCTATCCGAGGTGTGTTGTTTGACAGACAGCTTAAGATCCTCTTTCCTAATGCCATTTTTTCTGCTGGATTTTGTGTGCATTTCTTACTCCAACCAATTTATGATATACATCCATTGTTTGTGTCTTTGATGTATATTTTATTTGATTTCCATCTGGTAATAGCCATTCATGTTTTCTTAAAATATTTTGATGAATTAATTGGCAGTTTTGCACTTTTATTGAAAATGTGGTGCGCGGTTGAATGACTTGCAAAGTATTATGGGCTGCCAAATGGTGCCTGTCTAATTGTCTCTGAAATGATTTGGAAAAAGGATGAATTGGTTTATATACTGAAAACTAATATATGGAAAACCATGAATCTGGAATGCAATAAGAATGAAAAAAACAAAATCATGGGCCAAACAAGCATGTGGCATTTTCATTGTCAAAAATTCTAGTTAGTGGTTAAAAGCCCGCTCCACAGTCCACACCATTAATTCTAGAATCTAGTTTTTTGCTTTCTGATCAACCATTTAATTGCATTTGTTTTTGAGGCTTCTGAACTTATCCACAAGGTTAATGTGTGATTTATTTTTCCTTCTGCCTGACATTAAATTGATTATACTTCTGTTAAAAATTTTGGGCAGCTGCCAGAGTTCTGTTCGAGGGATAGCTCCTTAATTGTCAAGGAAATATTTGGGGTTACAGAGTATGATTTGTCCATTTAACTTTTGTTCTACGTTTAGTTCTCAAAAAAATGATAGAAAGGAATTGAAAATATTAGCAGATGTTGTGTTTCATATCACTTTCTCTATTCCACCTTTTTGGCATAGTCAAAACCGAAACCAGGACTTATACCCTATACAATATACTTAATTGTTCTCTCCTCTTTTTTTAGTGAGGATGCAGACAAACTTCGGCTACATACTTTCTCTGAAATTGGGGATATGGGTTCACTTGAGAAGATGGCTGATGGTTCAGATTCAGAAGATTCGAGTGTGGATTCATTGGATGCTGTTTGATTCCATAATGACATTGTAAGCACAATGAATCTAGGCACAGAGAAAAGTTTGAGGATTACCAGGGTTTGGTTTGCATCCAAAAGCTCACCCACCACAATAGATGTTCATAAGCTATGTCAGAAAATTCTAAAATTTTGATGAGTTGGTCCCTTATATAGGTCAGTTTTTATGCAGCTCAAATGAACTTCAAATTTGTGTCAGAACTGTTTTTTTTTTTTTTTTTTTTGTTGCTAAATGCAAGGAATCTGTCATGGTAACTGTTATTTTGCTAAATAAAGAAAGGTGTCACTAATGTCATTCTTTTGTTTTAGGGACGAAGTTAAATTTTGTTAGTAATTGTATATCAATATTGAATTATCTTACTATATTTTTATGTTTTATTGATTCTTTAACCTAAGATAATGAAATGAGAGAAATTTATCAATTTTCGTCAACAAAGTATTATGAGAAATTTTTTTAATTTCATTATATATATGCAAAGGACTCATGATCCTGATGAGTTGGTCCTTTAGAAGAGAGATTGGGCTTGATTCAGTCCGGTCCACGGACACAGTAGCAGAGAAACATTACAACAAATCTTCTGGCTTAAGTTTTTTTTTTCTTGAATGAATAATTACATATATCTTCTTCTCAGGATAATACTACAATGGATTTAGAAGAAATATATATTTCATTTTTTGTGTTTAATCAAACCTCAGCTAAAAAAAACACTAAAACAAAGAAGAAAAAGAAGGGTCCTTATTGATTACTCCAAGTCCAAGCCCAATTTCAGTTTCCAAGAATGGTGCAAATCTAACCAAGTTACCAGCACGACTAAACCCTCATTTGACGCAGGCTTGTCTCGCACAATACCCAGCACCATTTGACCACCAAGCAATTGTTTGTTGTAGTGGCAACCACAACCCACATGGGCTACGGCCCTATGGAGCCAGGGGATGGGACTCGGACTCCAAGTCTCCAACCCAAAGCCTTGCTCTTTCTTCATTTTTAAATTTTTTGCCCTTTGCCATTTGCCAACTATGAAAATAAAATCAGAAAATCAAGAGCGAAAAAAAGAAAAGAATATTTTAGTAATTGATAATTTTGCACTGTTCCATATGCATAGCTTTGAGTAGTGGTGCTTTTGGGTAATTCCATTTTTCCTTCAATCTTCAATTACCGAGTGTCTCTTTGCCTTCTCCCTTTCCTTTCCGTTTCCTCTCACTGGGGAATGTCTTCCGCTATGAATTTATTTTTCCTGGATTTTAATCCTAAAAACCTTTTATAATTAATCCTCTTACTTCACGAATTGTTTATTGAGAAATTATTGTTTGTTTTTGTTCAACATTTGAATTTGCCTTTCTATCTATGAAAGAATTTTCTTTCTTTTTTCTTTTAATAAAAAAATAATTTTAGCTCATTTTTATTTTACTTACCATTAAAATTCACTCTTTCTTGTTTTAGATTATAATTTTCCTTCTTTGGAAAGTTGGTGAGTTTTGGTGTTAGGAAGTTTAGTTTTTATTCCCATTGACCATTTTTAATTATGTTTATGCAGAAATTCCTGTGAAATAAATAATTTGCACCAATTAAACTGTGTTGTTTTGATTTAGTTTGAAGTATAAAGATGACCATTCTACTCCCACTAACTCTAATCAGTCAAATGAGTCCTTAATTCTGACAACTGAAGGGCCATTGGTTGTTTTACTTGCAACTATTTTTCTGTCCCCCTTTTTCTATCTTTAGAAAATTGTTGTTTGGAACTTTTCTTTTTATGTTATATTGCAATGATACTGTTATTGTCAATCAATTAAATGCTTGATGTTAGAGACTTAGCACCTGCTATTTTGTTACTTAGCTACTATTCAAATGTGAATGCTATCATAGTTTGTTTGCTTTTTGACTTGTAGGAAAATTTTGGGTCGAGTTAGGCATTTCATGGGAGTAATACAAGATAGTGAACCACCCTTGAAACGTGTGAAAGGGCCCTTGGAAGAATCAAAGAGCTTGCCAGAGGATCCTTCGAATGCAGCACCTGTTTCATGTTCTTTGCGAGACCAGATGGCTAGGCCTCTAGCCTCCCAAGGGGATGGGGAAACAATTGGTTCACAAGGTGTTATAAAAAAGGCAGAATTTATCAAAATTATAATTAGGGCATTGTACTCACTCGGTTATGATAAAAGCGGTGCCCTTCTAGAAGAGGAATCGGGAATACCATTGCATTCTTCAGTGGTTAATCTGTTTATGCAGCAAGTGACAGATGGGCAGTGGGAGGATAGTGTGGCCACATTTTAAATGATTGGTCTTTCGGATGAAACAATCATGAAATCAGCATCTTTCATGATATTGGAACAGAAGTTCCTTGAACTTTTGAAAATGGAAAGAGTTGCTGCTGCATTGGACACACTAAGGAATGAGATTGTGCCACTTCATGTCAATCCGAACCGGGTTCATGAGCTTGCTGCCTGTATCATCTCTCGTTTGCAATGTGTAAGACTTGGGATTTCTGGTCAAGATACTGAGGAGACAAAGTCAAGGTCAAAGATTCTAGAAAAACTACAAAAGTTGGTTCCTGCCGCAATAGTCATTCCTGAAAAAAGGTTAGAGCATCTAATGGAAAGGGCTCTTGATGTTCAACGAGGGGCTTGCATGTTCCATAATTCCTCGGATAGTGATCTCTCTTTGTACTCAGATCACCAGTGCAGGAAAAATCAGATTCCTTCCCAGACATTGCAGATTAGCGTTTTTCAAGGTAATGGTAGTTTAATTTGCTGCCTTTGCAGTCCTTATTAGCTGCCTTTTCTCTTAACAGGTAATAAATTGGACTTTATCTTTTGGATCTATGGTGTAATATATTCTGCAGGTCACTGGTTTTAGCAACGTCTAGCCTGTGGAAACAGTCATTTGTGTTGGTTCTTGGTATTATACTTAGAGAAGTTGCCTTCTTTGATTAAGAGTCCAGCTATGTTCAGTAGCCATCTTTTATTCTTTTGGTATTCTTACTGTTGCTGTTAATTTCATCTTGGTTTTATGATCAAGGGACTTACCTGTTTCATTTGAATTTTTAGCTGCTTCTCTAATATGTCATAATACATACTGTGCATTTGATTTTCATCAGCTAACAAAAGAATGCAATAGTGAAAATTTTCTGTTTATATAAATGAGAACAGATACTACAAGCACACAATGATGAAGTTTGGTTTCTGCAATTCTCACATAACGGCAAATATTTGGCCTCATCATCTAAGGATCAGTCAACAATTATATGGGAGGTAAGCTTTTTCTTTATAATTGTCTTTGCATTTACCTTTTGTTTCCTCTTCCAAGTTACTTATGTTTTAGCTAGCTAAGTAGCACTCATTTGTGGGATTTTTCCATTTTGTGCCCCTTTCTCTCTTTTTGTCATAATTTATTATTGCTGTGGGGTAAAGAAGAAACATGGATAAGATCAAATGATACGTGCCAGAGCTTGCTTAATTGGTTAACTTGTTATAATTCAATGACAATAAATAATTTATGACTGAACAATGTTGGGCACTGTATACGCCTTGTGCTGTGCGACCTTAATGGTTCCCTTGTTATTGGCCTGGAAATATTCATGTTTATTTTGCATGCTGGCATGCAAATTCTTGTGTGTCATTTTCATCAAATGTTGTTAGTGAGCCTAGCTGTTGCTGAGGTTTGAACCACTGGCCTTGATCCTATAACCAAGGATTTTAGTAGGTATTAATTGAGCTAGGCTCTCTTGAGAATATTTTGAGGAAATTGTGTGTTCTAAACCAATTATATTGAAGTTTATATGCATTATTAATATATCCTACAATGCTGATAACCCTACATTCAACTTCAAACCATCCTCTTGTAATAAATTTATTATTTTTAACTTTTTAGGTTGAAGAAAATGGTCTGGTGTCACTGAAGCACACACTATGCGGTCATCAGAAACCAGTGTCAACCATTTCATGGAGTCTGGATGACAGCCAAATCCTTACTTGCGGACAGGAGGAGGTTATCAAGCGTTGGGATGTCAGTTCTGGAGAATGCCTTCATGTTTATGAAAAATCTGGTGTTGGTTTCATTTCTTGTGGATGGTTCCCTGATGGCAGAGGGATATTTTCTGGGATGACTGACAGGAGCATCTGCCTCTGGGATTTGGAAGGAAGAGAGCTGGAATGATGGAAAGGACAGAGGACTCTTAGAATCTCTGATGTGGCAAATAACTGATGATGCTAAGAGGATCATAGGCTTATGCAGAGAGTCTGCTATACTGTTGCTTGACAGGGAAGCAAAATTTGAGAGACTGATTAAAGAGGTGGACTTGATTACTTCATTTTCATTATCAAAAGACAACAAATTCTTACTGGTTAATCTTATAAACCAAGAAATCCATCTGTGGAGCATAGAAGGTGATCCTAAACTTGTATCAGAGTACAAAGGTCACAAACAAACCCGATTTATAATTAGATCTTGTTTTGGTGGACTCGGGCAAGCTTTTATTGCCAGTGGTAGTGAGGATTCACAGGTACTCCTCTTTTATGTCATGAAAATATGATTTGATAACAAACAACTTCAGGTGAACATAATCAATATTACTATTTTCAAATTGTTGCCATCTGCAAAATTTGTTCTGTTTGATACTTTCACAAGTCAGTTGGCTTTGGAGCACATGCTTTTGAAGGGCAAGTCCAAGAATAGTCTGTTAGTGTCATTTAGGTGTATAGCTTTTCTCTGACCAGTTTGATGGTCAGCCTTTTAAATATTCACTCTAGTGGGATCATCTGTCATTAACTGTTATGAGTTTGTTCATTCGCTATTTTGTAACTACTATAATTCTAGTTGTTATTGTTTTTATCATAGATTAAGTTTCACATATGTATGTTCAGTTGCTATCAAGAAGATGTCTTTGCATTTTATTGTTTCTTGTTGCAGGTTTACATATGGCACAGGTGCTCACGGGAGCTTCTATTGGCACTGCCTGGACATTCTGGCGCAGTTAACTGTGTGAGCTGGAATCCAGCAAATCTTCACATGCTGGCTTCAGCTAGTGATGACCGAACAATTCGAATTTGGGGGTTAGATCTCTTTAACCTGAAATACAGAGACCACAGCAATGGAAGGAGCTGAAACAATTTGTATGCTGTCAAATGATTCCTCAAGTTGTAACCCCTTAATTAACATTTGTGTAAATCCTGCAATCATTTGCTTCTGTTCTTTAACATCCAAAAGCAGGCAAAAACCCAAATGCTATCTGCTATGACACATTCAGCTTGATAACCCATTACTTTTCCCTTACTGTCTTTGATCCTGATGTTGGTTGCTGCATTGTTGGATTAGTTTTCAACTTTATTTTTTGTGTTCCGAGAAAAGCTTTTGTAAAACATAAAATTTACAGTAGATCACTTGGCTTATAATTAGCTTGAGGTACATTCCATTTTTCAGTAATGTTTTCAAATTTCGAAAAAGAAAAAATTTTAAATTTGTACAAAATAATTTTAAACATGATATAATGAGATGATAAGAAAAAAAATATATAAAAGCGATGTTTTAAAATTTTAACAAAAATTATGCCGTTGGTTCTGCCATGATTCTCTTGATGCGGGGCAGCGGAGGAGTCTCGGTCCCCCCCGCAGCGGATGAGACCTAGTCCCTGGGATGGTGATCCCCGAGTAGTGTGTGGGTAAAGCATTGACCTTGAAGCCGGCAGCCTTGTGATGAACCTGGAGCCGGACAGCTTGGTAGGCTCTCCCGGTCGAGCCTTGATACGAGTAACTTCGAGTGGGTTAAAGGAGCAGTGAGTTGGAAGTAGAGATGAAAATGGATATTCGTTATTATTCTATTCGTTTATATCATATTTAGATAGTTTAAAAAATGGATCGTTAATGGATTAGGACAATTAAAAATAAATAATTAACAGATTCAAAAAAAAAATTATAATTTGTGATAGATTTGAAATGGATACAAATATTATTCTTTAAATATTTAATATCTAAATTTATTTAAATTTTAATAAATAGTAATGGATATTCATATCTGTTTATATATATATATATAATATAATATAATATTTTATACTTATAGAAGGTTTCAAACATTAAAAAATAATTTTTATTTATTATTAATTAAAAGTGAATTTGATTTTAAATTAAATTTTTGTTTATTTTATATTTTGACAAAAAATTAAATACACGAATATTTTAACGAATTTAAATATTTAAACAGATAATACTTATTTAAATGGAGTCAGATTTATATAGTAATTAAACTTAAACGAATTGAAATATTATAAATATTAAACAATTTGGAATACAAATATGTAAAAAATAATGGATATATGTTTTAATACAATTCCTAGTTGGATGCTAGCAACATAGGAACTAAAAGAAAGCTCATTGAGCTTTGAGTTAGGTTTTGGAAGTGCTTAGACAAAAAGTGTTTCCATTTCAAATATTGTTATGATTCTCAATAGGAAAGCTCTAAAAGCTTCTATGCTCTATATAAGGGATAATCAATGTTAGCTTTTCACCACCCTTTACTAGCAAGTAAGCAAGAATCTACTAATATGAAGTGAGTTACTTTTAGTACATATATTAAATGAATGAATACGATAATACTACAAATGTGACACAATGTCTCTCAAAATATAATAAATTTAAAAACGATAAGGTCGACGAATATTGCTCCTTAGTATTAGATTGTGGTTGCATCATAACATTCGTTATGCCTCTCAATTTCCCTTCCATGAGTTGAAACCAAAGATCATATGACGGTACTTGCATAGAAAAGCACCAATGAGCTCGAGGGACGAGTAGGCTAGCAAGCAAGTTGTTAAACCCTTATGGTTCTACATGAGGAAGTGTGTTGCAGTTGAGGCAGCACATTCGAGTATCTGATGAGATGTGAGCATGATGTCGAGTGTCCATCATGCTTGTGGGCAACATTACGTGAGGCTATGGTTGTGATCTTGAAGTGTGACCTTTGTGGGCTTTTACATCGTGCTTGATGTGACTCTAGGTTGGTGGCGATCCTGCATTCAGTGATGCCTCAGGGTTTTAAGTACGACAGCTTCGAATGGTGCGTGCGGATATGATGATTTCACTATGCTAAAACAGGATATCCCAATGAGAATCGGGAGTGAATGCCCCATACGTGTCCCTGATGAGTAGGCACTTGAGGCCCCGAGTCTTGGCTACCACCAAATGGGTGCTTGAGGTCTCTCGACAACTAGCTGCTAGTTAAATGACAAGAGTGAATGTCTTCCCTCAACGAGTTTTGATGTTTATGAGAGACCTTATGGGGTTAAGCAAGAAGGGCAAACGTGTGCGCCACGAGTTAGTTATCTTGGGTTGTTCATGATGGAAATGGGCACGAAAAAATTAACTTCGATCAAAAAATAATTTTAATGTCGTTCGATCGCATAATTTTAATATAAAAAACATATGAATTATGATATAATATGTAAATTTTATAAAAATAAAAAATATTTTATATTTAATATGTTAACATTAACGTCACGAATCATAATATCAATTATTATGATTCGAATCATAATATCCTATATGATATAATTATTCAAAATGGACAAATAACCAAGCAAAAATTTAGGCAAGCAAACGCCTGAATAATAAAATAAGGCTAGGTGATTGGGTTAACTAAATCTGGTCTTGAGACTGGGCCACGGTCATTGGCCATGGCCCATTTTAAAAGCTCTAGCAACTTCTCCTTCTCTCGCTTCTTTGTGCTTCGTTGAGTCGTCGAACGAGAAGAAAAATCAGAAATCGATCAAAATTCTTAAAAGGTCTCCTATCGTTCGTTTTTGAATTTTCCTTGCTAAAGACTGAGACCTGGAATTCCTTGGGAAGGGAACTGGAAGAGCAATGGGAAGCGCGCCCGCACAAATTCCGACGAGCTTCGGACACGAACTCAGGGCTTGCCTTCGTTGCCGCCTCGTCAAAACCTACGATCAGGTAATTTTTGTGTTTCCAGTTACGGTTTCTTCTCGCTTTCAAAAGTTTCATGTTTGAGGAATTTGGATTACTGTTTTGTGGCTATTTAATTGAACAGTTTAGGGAATCAGGATGTGAAAACTGCCCATTCTTTAAGATGGATGAGGATAATGAACGCGTAGTCGATTGCACCACTCCTAATTTCAATGGGTATCTTTCTTCGTTATTTTGTTCTTTAAAAAAAAAAAAAAAACCCTATCTATAAAATGTATCTTTCTTATCTCTTTGAGCATTGCTCTAAATGTGATATGCTGTTTGGTTTTTTAGGATAATCTCTGTGATGGACCCGACTAGAAGTTGGGCTGCTCGTTGGCTGCGAATTGGTTTGTTCTACACTGTTTTTTTTTTAGTATATTAAACAAAGTTTTCTGTTTCTTTTTCTTTTTTTTTTTGCTGTGGAGGAATTATTCCTGCAAGTGTTTCAAAGTTTAAGAGCCTTCTTTGGATGCAGAACGAAGGCTTGTATGATTTAGAAATCTGTTGTGATGCTTTATGGTGTGAGCTTAATTTGCTGTTGTTCTTCATTTTCCATATACAAATGTGTAAACCTTGGATTTGAAGTCTATTCTCTAGGATGATTGTTGAATTAATGCACTCTCTAGGAATGCTTCTGAACTCTATAAGGCACCGGACTTTTGACATCTCAATGATAGTTTTTCACCACAGAATAGTAGATTATCCAATCGCTCTTTTATCCTATTCTTACATCTTTTCTTGTTTTTGATGCCTTTTGAAACTATATGCATACATTAGTGTATTCTTAGATATTTTGGGTATGTGACATTTCTGTAAATCCTTCTCAGGAAGATTTGTCCCTGGTTGTTACACTCTTGCAGTTTCAGAGGCACTTCCCGAGGACTTGCAGGTATGGTTTCTCATCCTAAGTGAAATTCATTAGTTTCTTTTATTTCCTAGGAAATATTATGCCAGTTAGCTCATTTCTACTTACCTTTTACAAAAGTAATGTGGAGGATGCTGAATATGGAACACAATGGGGGCATGTTAATAGTGTGACCTGTTCAAATATCTATATCTCTTGGTCTATGATAATATTCAGTTTCTTTTCTCCATCATTCGCATGTCATCTTTCATCCTTGCGTGCCACAGTGGAATCGTTAGATCAGTTCAATATCTTTGCTTGTTCTATTCAATCTTGTTGTTACTGTATATTTAAGTATTAAGGTCATATTATCCATTTGCACCAGGAGGTATCTTGTGATGGGAATATAATCTATTCCCTCTTATACACATTTAATAAGTTTTCATAAGATATGCATGTATAGGGAGATTGACTTTGGTCAACCTGTTCAATCTTATCTATTAACCCATGCCATGTGCCATAAATTTGATGATTTCGGTGCTGGCAAGTGACAATGGGCTAATGAAATTGAGGATATTGGCTGAATTTCTGTCTACCCAGCTATCGGTTCCCTGAATATTTTCTGGTATCTTTGATAAAACCAACAAGAAAATCAGTGGCTATTTATTAAAATTTTACTACAAAGCAATTTGCCTAACAAGAATATATCTACTTGCAACCTTTTTTGTTTGTTTATTAAAGTTTCAAGCCGTTTTCTTCTGTGTTTGGGGTATTATGCTGTTCCTACATTGATTGTTGTTTTCCTTCATACAGAATTTATGTGAAGAAGTGCACGTGCAGTATGTACCACCAAAACGGGTATGAGACAGAGAGAGTCTGGATGACATTGTTGGTAAGGATTGAAAAACTGAATTGCATTTTACTGAGCAATGTAGGAGGACAAAAGTAACTGTGTTGGATATTTTGCAAAAGCATTGCTCTGTTTTTTTTTGGCCAATAAAGTTTTTGCTCTGTTGGCTAACAATGAATTATAACAGTTCCTGGGTTTGACAACCTTGTAAACATACTAGTTATCTACAAAAAGGTTTTGTATTTGGTAGTTGGTGTTAAAATGAACTTGTATAAGTAAACTTTTTCAGAATTTAGTTGGAAGAAGCATGGAATCTGGCAAATTGGGTCCTATTTCTGAAATTTAAAAGGTTACAGGCACGGTAGTACAATTCTAGTGATTGGAAATCACATGGATGAAAATTTCAGAGGACTGATATATTGGGAAATTGATTTTATTGTGACTTTTTGAAAAGTGGGTATCCAAAATAGACTCTGCTAAACTTTGGAGCTGGATGTAAAATTGATCGGGAAAATTAGTGTAGTTAATGTAATTAAGTTATTATTACAAGTAGCTAACTATTAAGAGGTGAGTTGAATTTAGTTTCAGGGATAAACTGTTGTAATATTATTAAGAGTATGTATAATGGGAGTGGGGTGAATTTTTTTGTCCGTTGATACTATTTTTAATTTCAGTTGTTTGGTGAACTCGTTAAAAATTATTTTTGACAAAATTTGGTAGCTTTGCATACAAAATTTGACAATCCAATTCCAACTAACTAAAATCATATTAATCAAAAACAAACGAGGAAGGTTAGAGCGTGCTGCTTATAGTAAAAAAACGCAGGAAAGCATGTTTGTCTTTATTGTTAGGTGAAAGATTCGATGTTGGCTTCAAGGATTCTTTCTAACGCATGCTTCACTGGCTTCAAGATGCCCACAAATCATAGTAATTTCATTGCAGAAAGGGTAAAAGTTTAACCAGAATTTCCTTTAAGAATTCAATTTATTGGACTACCTGGTGCTGCTCCATTTCGAGGCCTTGTTTATACCGTACATCAACTGGATATCATTTTTTTTTTTTTTGTTTTGGTTTTGGGAAATAAAAAATAGGCAATAAATGAAGGGTATGGTATTGCCCATATAGGTCCAAAACGGTGGGGACACGTGTCATGAATCCCACATTAGTAAAACAATTTGTGGTTTTGGGTTATAAAATAATGCTTTTTCTTTTTTTGGGTTCTTACAGAAGGAGCATAGCATAAATAACTAAATAGTGCGTACAAAACAGTTCCTACAGCGTCGGCCAAAGGGGGGGCCGATGAAAGTTCCGTGGACAAATATGAGTAACAGAAAGTTGGTTTGAGGCAGAGTACACATAGAACTATTTCTTATACAAAAGTCCCCAGGGTGAGTTCACTGCCGTTACGATCAGGTGCATCCGCACAGCGGTTTCCCTCGTGAAAGGTATGGATGAGTTTCTTCTATTGGATTTGATTCAGTAAAGCCCTGTAATCACACATCAAAGGCCAGCACGTGGTTAGTGGACAAATGGTTGGATATGAGACTAATGATAGCAGTTGCTTCAAGTTCAATTTCAAGGCAAAGTAATACCAAGGGCAAGGCCATCCCTCGGAGCCCAGAGCTCAACTTCCACACTGATAGCTTTGCCTACATGCCTAACCGAGCTAGCAATCCAATTTCTATCATGGTTTAGAAATGATGGCACCAGCTCTAGCGGTACCAGGATTACCAATGGCAGAACCATCAGTATTGAGTTTGTGCCATCCCATGGCAAGAAAGGACCACTTTAACGACGATAAAAAGTGGGAAGGGTGGCCTTGTGGCCATTGTAAGATAAGAGATAAAACTCCATCGTTCAGCTAATGGCACGATCGGTGATGGTAGGAAAAGATTTGGCGTTTAGATAATTGCATTTCTAGCAAGTCAAAGTTCCCAAATGAAGTGGATGAAAATAACTTTCCAGGGAATGCGATGGGTATGGTAGGGCAGCTTAGAAGTCATGTGTATCTCGAGTCACTTAGGGAGGGGGCAAGCAAAGGAAGGAGTGAGCTGTTGCAGGACCTTGGTGAGTTACTAAAGAGGCAAAGTAATGGGATAGCGTCTGAGAATGTGATCGAGACTTTCTTCATTATTGTGACATAGGGGGCAAGTTGACATAGAAACAATTTCTCTCCTAGTAAGGAAAAGCCTGGTTGGTAGGATACAGTGGGCGCATTCCCACGAGAAGAACTTGAGCTTTGATAGGATGTGTTGTTTCCAAATCCACATCCACTTGCGCTCGGGTTGGGATTCAGTGGAGGGGTCGGTTTGAAAAGCAAGCTTGTGCGCACTAGTTAGAAAGAAGCAGCCATCCCTTGAGGGGTTCCAATTTATAGTATCTTAGAGTTGTAAATGAACCGAACATGAACAAACGAACATATGTTTGTGATTTGTTTGTTTATTTTTAGAGCTATTCGAACTCGATTCATGTTCGATAAGAAATTTATTAATTGTGTTCAAACTTCATTCATTTAAATAATAAGATATTCACGTTCATTTGTGTTCAATTCATTTAAATTAAATGAGTTTATTCATAAACATTAAATGAACATATTCACGAATATACATAAACAAACATGTTCATGAACATATTATAAATTATATTTAATAAAAAATCTTAAAAAAAACTAAAACCCAATAAACTAGTGATTGTCCAGCAACTTTCAAAAATTAAATGATCTTAATCAAAGAACTTATCTTACAAAAATTAAGTGATCTTAACCATACAAAATCATCTAGCAACTTTCACACCAAAAAAATCAATCAAAGAACAAGGAGGTCCTTATTTATCATCAAGCCATTCCATTAGCCTCATAAATTATGTTAAATTTAACATTGGCAATTTCAATCAGTAAACCATCAATCTCAATAAAAATACTATTCATTTTTCGATCTTCAACAACTTAAATTCAACATCTTCATTCTTCAATTGTTAATCAAGAACTACATAAATTGAAACCCATAAAACAAAAAGTATCATTACAACTTCAATAAGATTTACATAGCCATATTACCTCCATAATTTTTGCTAGTGGCTAGTGCAAAGAAAAAAAATCTAGAGCTAGAAAAAGTTCCTCCACAAAACTCCAAAATACCAAATGAGAATTTTGTTTCACCAAAAAAGAAGAATTGTAAATGGTATAAATGCACTAAAGAATTATGTGTAAATTTTAAGTTATTAAAAATATTTACCTTTAAAAGTTAAAATTAAATAACCTTCAAAGTTATTTAAACTTTAAAACAGTGAAATCTTTTAACTTCTACTTTAGCCTATATAAGAAATTAATATTAAATAAGAAACTATTATAAAATTCTAATATATAACAAATAAAAAGAACATGAAAATTACTTACCTTTTCTTTTCTTTTAAGGCCATAGAAGTTTTGGTACTAGCACTACTACAAAATAACGTTTGCACTGTATTAGTTCCTAAAGATGAGCGATATGCATCAATAACTCTACCACTAGCACTAAAGTTGATTTTGAAACCACTGTGGTTATGAGAATAGACAAAATTTCACAAGCCATTTTGGATAAAATTCAAAACCTAAGGTTATTTGCCTTCCACCACTCTAAAGCATCAAATTCCCTAAAATTTTCCTTGCAAATGAACACCCATTTTTCCAAATATGTATCTAGTTCAGACTTAACATTGTAAATTGTATCCACACTCCTAACATAATTCTCATACTTAGACCTCCCTATTAAAATAACTTTTTCCTTCTTAATTCCACAAGTTGCAAAAACATTGGTGGTAATACCACTTCTTTATGCATCATTTTCCATAGGTGTACCAATATTAGTTGCTGTATAAGCATCTATATATTCTTTATAAAGCTCATATAAGCTGTCACACACAATTTTAATATGTCTAAGAGCTTCCTCTCTAGAATAGATAACATGAAATGTAAAGTCAATCAATGTCATCTTACTTCTAGGATTTAGTATAGCAATAATAGAGATCAACAAATTGCATTCACCCTAATATTTATCAAATTTATTTTGCATTTGCATAGTCATTAGTCTCATCCAAGGTTCTTCACTCATAAATTTCTCATCCAACAATTTTTTTATATTCCAAAGCTCAGGAAGAAATAAATTTGATGTTGGATATTCAAAACCTAATAATTATAAAAGAAATAAATATTCAAATTGAATGATAGAAATTTATAACATAAATGAAAAAAAAGTTTTAAACTTGAAATATTAAATGTTTATTACTTGAGATGATGTTGGTAACATCATTAAAAAATGCTAAAAAAGAACAAACTTTCTCAACTTACCCAATCTTCATTATTTAGCAAGTTGGAGTAACTTAAATCTCTTGCTTTATACCGTGGAAATACTTTTTTGAACTTTAATGCGTATGACAACATAGCATACGTTGCATTCCAACATGTGCAACAATCTAAAATCAACCTCTTACTAGGCAACTGAAGCTGTTTGACAATATCATTAAACATATTCAAATGTATAGTTGATATTGTGATGGGCTTCATATGTTCCTTACATTTTTAACTATTTCTTCAATTGTAGAAAGACCATCATGCACCAAAAGATTTAAGATGTGCATACAACACCAAACATAAAATAATTTGTCATCCAAATGAAGCCTTCTATGAAAAGAAAGACTATCTTTCAACATCCTTACAACTAAATCATTGTAAAAAGCATTGTCCACACTAATTGTGCATACTTTTCTTTCAATACCCCATTCTTACAAGCATTTGTATAGCGCATCATAAATGACAACTCCACTATGAGAAAGGAGGTATATCAACAAAGTTTAAAACTTTTTTTTACAACTTTTAATCAGAGTCCACAAAATAAGTAGTCAACATCATCTATTGAATCTTCTAACCTGACTTTCACATATCAGTCGTAATGCTAATTCTATCAATTATTTTCAGCAATGCATTTAACTTCTTTTTTTTTTTACTTTATAACTTGTCTAACAATCAGCTTTGATTGTTGCATGAGAGATCCTTTGATAATGAGACTTGCAGTCTTCATCTATAAAGTGAAAAACTCATATTTTGTAAATGTAAATGGCAACTCATGAACCATAATCATATGAGAAACAATCTCTCTTATCTTTGCTTGATCATACTTTCAAGTCTAAATACAACTCATACTATCTAATCTAGATGTTTGTGGTAGCAGATAAATAGTGTTTTGCCCATGTTCAGTCAATTGATGTTTAAGACAACTAGTTAAATGCCTCTTGTATTGCATAGTTATACCATATTTGTTCTTATCAAGCTTGACCTTGTAATGATTACACTGCACTTTTTCAGTCC